ATTGTGATAAGAGTTGTATGAGCCCCTAATAAAACGATTAAAAAAACAAACAAATGTGCTTGACACAATGGTGTATCTATGGATTGTGATAAGAGTTGTGTGAACCCCCAATAAAATGATTTAAAAAAAACTGGCAATAATGCAAATAAATTTTGTTCATATGAATGCAAAATAATTATGCCCACTGTAACGCAATTGATTATTATAACCCACATTATAATAAATTTTTTATTTAAAAAAAAAACTTATAGTCTCGGAAACTCATGGGGCAACAAGTGATCCTATAGGGTCACTTTGAGTCAGCATTTATTCAATAGCAGTGAGTTGTTTAGTCTGACCATGTTCTAAGACATTTTAAAAAGAATGTAGTATGTTCTGCTTTAGTGTGATAAACTGGATTCTGCAGAAACTACAAATAAAAGACAAACAGAATTAGAAAGAGATCTCTGATGGCATAGTGGGTTATTTATTGGGCTGCTAACTACAAAGTCAGCAGTTAGAAACCACCAGCTAGCTGCTCCAGGGCAGAAAGATGTGAGGCATTCTGCTCCCGTGAAGATTTACCATCTTAGAAACCCACAAGGGGAGTTGACTCTGTGTTATAGGGGCACTGTGAGTCAGAATGGACTCAATGGGAGTGAGTTTTTCAACTCAAGCTTTGTACAGTTGGGTAATCAGAGGACTCACAATCCTAATGAAATCATAGTACAATTAAAAAGAAATGTTAAATTCCTACTTAATAGGAACAGATTATGCCATATTCTGGCCAATAGAATACCAAAGGAACTATTGCTTCTTCTAACATATATTGTGCTCTATTAATACTCCCTGGGAACACAAGGAATTGCCCTCAGAAATAGTTTGGTTAAAATAATAAGTGAACTCTTTTCATTTGATTTTGGTGATAACAGTATTCAAAATTTTGTATGTAGTAGGCATGTCATAAATAATGGAAGAAAGCAAGAAGAAAAATAACTGCATATGTTATTCTTAGAATGGATACCATCTTTTAAAATTAAAAATCACTATTCTCCTGGTTAATTCTTTCTGTGGAGATCTCTTACACTGACGATAGTTAAACAGAATCTTGCTCCAGAGAATAAACTTGGAAAAGTAACGGATTACAACTCTTGTGGGGTCATTTTTATCCTTTGGCAAATGATGAAATGCTTCAAAAAGAATTGTTGGAAAGTTGTTGAAACCATTCCAGCAAGATTTGGTACAAAAAGAGGTTCATTTAAAAAATTATATCTTAATACAGTATTTCTTATGAAGTGAATTAATAAGTTACCTTTTGGAATTTGTGGCTTAATTGCTTTCTTTAAAAGAATATGGTTTGGATGGGAACATTTATGTTTTTATTTTTCATTTCCTCCTTAGAACAGACTGCCTTTTTGGTTGGCATTTTTACTTTTCTGTGGGTCGAACGACCCATGACAGCGAAAAAAAAGCCCAACTTCATTTTATTGATGAAAGCACTGTTATTATCTAGCTATGGAAAACTCTTGCTGATTCCAGCTGTCATTTGGGAACATGACTACACAACTCTGTGCCTCAAACTAATTAAAATGTTTGTCTTGACATCAAATTTTCAAGCAATTAGAGGTATGTCTGTCTTTTCAGCTTTTAACCCATATAGAAACTTAAAGCCTTTGTTTGAAACTATAGTTTTTATATCGAATTCTAAATAGGATAACAACAATACCTGGCACTGGTTGTAATGTTTTATGCTTGCCAGAGACTCAGTGACTCGGGATTCATCCAATTTAGCTACATAATACTTCATATTTTTCAAAATGCTTTCATGTGTACTCTTATCACGAGGTTAATGGAACAGCCATTATTACTTGCCTTTTATGAAGGATTAGGTTATCAGGGTTAAGGGTTTTTCGAAAATGCCATGGCTTGGCAAATGTCAAGCCAGGATAGAATGCCTCCCAATACACTAGAGTTCTGCTATTCCAGGAAAGGGGTGGTAAATAGCTGTGTGTGCAACCTTTTGCCACAGTCCTGACTGTCTTGCAGGCTGTGACAACAGAGGTTTCTTTTTTTTTTTTTTAATTGTTATTCTCTTTATAACCTTAAAGTCTATTTTTTTATTTTATCAAGTGTTCATAAGAATCTGCTTCTTAATTTGAATAGGATAAGCTCAGTGTTTTTATTATAAGCAGATGCTTTGGTTCTCAAAATGTGTGCTGATGGGAGAAGGGAACAGCATAGATTAATTCAAACAAATACAAATGTTCTAAATCCAATCACCTTAGCAAACCAATTTGTGCCACCACCTAATTTCCATGTCAGTACCATTGGACTTACCTCTTAAATACTTAACTAGTTGGTTTTTCTTTTCCAGTGACCTTGAACATCAACTGGAAATTGTCTTTTTTAGCCATCTTGAGTGGATGGCTATTGGAAAGCACCATGGTCTACTTCTACCAGAGAATGGAGTGGGACATTGGAAGTGATTGTGCCATCTATAAATCTCAAGACTTTTGAAGAGGTACTGCTAAAACCAGCAGTAGCGTCCATATCTTCAGACTAATATCCTTTGCATATTACTAATTTACAAATAAAAATATACTTGTAAAATAAACCAGTGCACTTGCATAACCCATTCCAAGCGTCCTGTTGCTTCTAATTCCTCTCCACCACCCTCAAGGACTAGAGTATATGGCTCTCAGACACCTTTCCTCTAGTTTCTCTCACCATCCACAAGGGACATCAACATCCATGTTTTTGTTACTCCTGGTGCCCTGCCCTCTAACACCTCAACTCCTGTTAACTCCTACTAACATCTTGGCCTCTAAAATCCCTCCAAAAACTTTTCCAGCTATTCTGTTTTTTGCTACATTTCAGCTCTGCTTTTTGCTACATTTTTTTAGTTTTTAATCACATGACCTCTAACATCTACTTCTGATTTCATTTGCCTCTTCTTTTTTAACCAGTTCCAGTGATTCTTTATTAGCCCCTTGATAGCAATCAACTATGTAGTGCCCATCTTTATTACCTACCTCGTTATGGCCATGTGGTGAGTCTTACCGTCTTGTTCTCCAGGAAGCAACACAAGTGTTTCTTGAGCAAGTCATTGCTGCCAAAAAGCACCATTGGGCAACTGTGTGATTCCTTTGCCTTTGTATTTACTTCTAGGTAATTTCTCATCAAGTGTCCTCTGTGCTGTAGTTCTGAAAGTCTACCCAGGCTCTTCAGTCACAGGTCCAGTGTTACTTCCCAGCTTGTCTTCCATTCTTCTGAGAACCTGGACCCCTCAGCTTCCTTCTCCATGTCAGAACTCCGCTGATCATGCATTCTTTCCCGTTTTCCCTCCCTCTCATCTCAGAAGTTGTGTTCAGTGTCTTTTCTGAGGCTGGTTTCCGGTATGTCAGCATTGCCCTTCTTCCAGTCATAACCAGACCAGACTGCAGTCTGTCTGTACAGCCTCTGTGTTACAGAGTAGGATCTTGAAGCTGGCTTGTGAAATCTGGGGTTGTAGAAAGGGAACATATGGTAAGTAAAGGCAGATGCAGACGGAAACAGACTGTCCATGACGATATCTTGGAAAGTTGTAGGTAATACTTTTAGTCATTTGTTTCTTGTTCTGTTACATATTCCTTGAAAATAGCTGTTCTGCCCTCTATCTAGTTCTCTGAAAGGCCCAGCCGTCACCCAGTTGCCTTCACTTCACTTCATGATCAGTTAGTTTTCCCTCCTAGGACTTCATTTATTCGCTCTCTACCATGACACCTTCCCCTCTGCCGCCAGACACCGGTAGCTCTTTATTCCACAGCAGTTTGTTTATGCCTCTATTTCTTCCTCTTTGGGAAACATTTTCCTGTGATATTGTTGTTATTGGGTAGCATCACGTCAGTTCTGACTCATAGCAACCTTTTGTACAACACCATGAAACACTGCCTGTTCTTTTCCAGCTTCACAATTGTTAGGTGTGCGCCCATTTTGGCAGCCACTGAGTCAGCCCATTGCATCGAAGGACATCTTTTTTGCTAATCATCTACTTTACCAAGCATGACATCCTTCTTCAAGGACTGGTCTGTCCTAATAACATATCCAAAGGTACATGAAACAAAGTCTCACCATCCTCACTTCTAAGGAGCATTCTGGCTGTACTTTTTACAAGATAGATATCTTCCCAGTCTTCCTTAATTCATTGTCCAGCTTTGACACATCCCAATTAACTGCCATCAAATCCATTCTGATTCATAGCAACCCTGTAGGGTAGAATAGAACTGTTGCCTGTGGCTCAAGGCTGTAAATATTTGTGGGAGAAAACAGTGTATCGATCTTTTTCCCATGGAGCGGCTAGTGGGCTCAAACTGCTGACCTTGCTGTCATCAGCCCAGTTCAT